CGTCCGAAGATAAGTGAAAATATGATATTTTTTCATGTACCTACCTTTATTTCTCTTCTCCAAACCTTTTTCAATACAAATGGTCACTACTGACAAGCTAATGAATTTTTCTTTTTATAGACACTCGGATAGGAAAATTCTTTAAACGCAGGGAAATTTTGGGGCAACTCATCTGATTCGTCCTTACTACATGTATATTGAAATAATATGCATATAATCATTCCTAGTTCCTAGTAACAAACGTCTTACCAATGTAATAGCCTATTGTTCACGTTCCTAAAAAAATACAAAGTGATAGAGGAATATCGAATTGTAATATTTGTAATTGTTTGGAAAAGGTGTAATATATGTCAATCACAAGCCATCAAAGGTTACTTCTATAATGGGTGGAATAACTGCACGAACAATTCAACCTTCAAGGCTTATTTCTGCGTGTGGAATAGATTTCGTAGGATATAAACTCGTGAAAACATTCATCACGCACAAGACAGGCTGCGATGGAATAAGAGGTTTTCCCTTACAATTTCGTAAAGAGAACAGTCTGAAGGGTATGCTGTGAATTTTTCACCAAGAAGCTCAGAATGTGACAGACAGTTTCCGCCTGAACGATATACAAGCCTCTGGCACAGGAATCTACCTACCTGCCTTTTTCAAGCGGAAGTTTACGACATCCTGGTCGTAGCAACAAGGAAGGAGGTTGAAGAGAGACTGGAGCAAGATATCTTCATCTACTCGGACAGCCAGGCAGCACTTGAGGCAATTTGCCACCCCAGACCAAATTCGGCACTGGAACAGAAGTGTGGAGATGCATTTAAAAAGCTAGCCGAATCAGAGGATGTTAAACTAGTGTGGATGCCCGGCAATAGGGAGAAACCCGGAAACGAAATAGCAGACTGCAGGCAGTCTGAGACTTCGTGACTGGAACAAGTAAATCAAGAACTGCATGGTTACTGGGCAGGGACCGCTAATTACTGCACGTTCCAAAGGTGTGCTAACAGAACTCAATCGGCTGGGTAGATACCTATCTTTATAGGTGTGTAAAAAATTGCACTTGCCGTAATTGTGGAGGAGAGGTGAAAAAACCGTCATACCACTACCTGGGACAGCGTAAGGCGTATTGAAGGCTGAGATTCAGAATTCTTGGTACTGATACGCTATATCAGGAATATTCAATCAACCTAAACTCAATGGACAAACTGACCTACACCAGAAGGTCAAGAAGGTTCGAACATGGGAATATGGAGAAGGAAGACTAGACATGTGTGCGGCAGGGTTCAGCAAAAGGGTTCACGGGAGCCTATTGCTAGGCAACCGCCTCTTCTCTCTCCTACCACTACTACTACTAGAATCAGCTGATGGTGATTCAACATCGAACATTCCTCTGAATGCACTGCGATTATTCTCCTCGCGAAGAGACATATATACTCTGATAATGGAACTAATTTTGTAGGCTGTTCTAACTACATCAAAGAACTACAAAATACTTTCATAGGAATAAATTTAAACATGATGCAGAGATTATGGATAACTTATTAGAAGATCAAACCATTTGGCACTTCATACCAGCCAGAGCATCCAATTATTGTGGACTATGGGAATCTGCAATTAAATTAACTGAAAATCACCTGCATAAAATTATTGATGATACACATCTCACATTTGGATCGCACTATACCTACTCTTCTATCTCAGATTGAATTTTGCTTGCTATCTCTTGTGTATCTAGCAAGGATTGGAGATTAGGTACGTATCGAAATTCTTCAATGAACTCTCGAAGATTGTAAGTTTTTTGAGATCGTACCTCTGGCGAAGAATTCCAAAGCTTTGCTATCTTATAGACGAACGAGTTTTGGAAAATAGTAGTACTTCTGACTGGTATTGCTATTGATGGAATGTTATCAGAGATTTTTGAAGAATATTTCCCATGGAAGTGTCTATAAAAAAGGAAGAGGTCATCATAATGTGGAAACAGTATTCTTAAACAGGTCGCATCTGAGTATTGACTTTCGGGGAATGATTGATCAGACATTGATATATCGAAAATACTGAGTTACGTCCCTCTAGAGACAATACAGGTTTGAGTTTTAGTGACGTGAAATTCTACTAAACTGTTGGTTCTCAAGTCTGTATTTTCCGCAAGATCTCCATTGACAGCGTTGATCTGCCTAAGTCGTGAGTTCTTAGTTTCATGAAACGAAATGAGAGAGTACGTATCATCAGCTGCAAATCTGTGGCTAGAGCAAGTGGTTACTCCAAACAGATCATTGATTCGGAGTAGATACGATGTGGTGCCAAAATGGATTCTTGTAGAACGCCGGAATCGATGACTATGGTATCAGACGATACCTCGTCCACTACCACATTGAGCAATCTGCCTGAAACAAAACCCGATGAAAAAGGCATATTGTCTTTCATTATTGATTTCTGAGCTTTCCATATATTTGATAAGCTCAATGTTGATGGCATCCTTCATCGCTTAGGAGATAACTGATCACATCCTCAATTCACGACCTGTTTCCCCATCATCCAATGATCCAAATGATCTTCGCAAGGACGAATATCTCAAGTATCAACCAAATGCGGTAACGATATTGAAGTTTGAATCACAGGATCCTGTATGATTTGTTTGGAAGTCAATGTTTGTTATAGGAATGGGTAGATACATGGAAATATGGGTGTAGTAAATACCAAACTTTTAGTGAAATAGGCGCCAGTCACTACAGCCATCAAATAATACCTGATCACATGTAACTTATGACAAGTGAACAAGTCACTAATGAAAAGTAAAGAAGTCTTCAATTGCAGTTGAATGAGTCACTAATGTTTAGTGAATAAGTCATTGATGACAAGTGAATTAGTCACAAATGACAAGTGTTGTGTTCGCTAACGGTAATCAATCTACAATTCAATAGAACATATATTCTTGTGGCTATCAAATGTGTTTCATTTTGATTTTTTCTCCGTGCGAAGAGAGCCAGATTGTACGTCAGGCGGTAGGTGGTATCAACAACAAACCTTAGAAAAACGCTTTATTGATCGCTGGCGAATTAGACATGTAGTATTCAATCTTCAATATGATCCCTTGTTTATCAAGAGAGATCGCGGTACTGATGGTGAATTCATTAAACTAAATTTGATCATATTTGATGAAGAGTGCTTGAAACCTACAAAACACTTTATTACACCGCATTCATCTCACAGAGTAACGCGAGATAATCCACGTTCTTGATATAAATATGCAGAGCCTGTTTTCACTACGGCTCTGTTCAGATACTGTTTTTATTTTTGGCAGATATCCAAGTGGAAGTGAAAACGAGCGTTCAGCATCAATAGCACAAGTTGCGATATTTCTAGGAAGAATGAATAAACATATACACTAAAGTCCAGGAATATTTTTATTCTTGACGTCAATGAGGGCTAACATTTTCACTCTCACCAGTTGGCGCTACTGAAACGTGGGGTCAATATCAACGTCAAATTTCTCCGGATAGCACTAGAAGATATTGCCTGTTTAATCGAAAATATGCCAAAAAAATGAGGCAGAATATTTATTCAAATAATAGAAAACCTCAAGTTATCGAAGGACTTGAGCCGTCTTACGTTTTTTTACTCTCAATGTGACGAGGAAGATATCACAGCAAAATGCCAAATGACACGAAAATGAGCAGTATATTTATCAGTTCTACCAACCCTTATCTCATGTTTCAGTGGGCGCGGTTTGGAGAACAATAATTAGAATTAGCCAATGAAAAAACAGAATAACACAAAGTCGGTCGACCACAAAATTATATTGACAAATCAAGTTTGTGACTAGTTTCAGCTCAAGGGCCATTTTTTTTTAAAGTTCTGGTTCCCTCTAAAAGAGTTATCCTGTAATATTTAGAGAACATTGTGAGAACCAAAAAAATGATGTAGGAATTGGTGTTCTCCTTGAATTTCTGAAGGTTATATGCCTCTGGGAACACCTCCCTTGGCAATGTGTTCCAGAGCCTCGCTGTTCGTTGGATGAACAAGTGTTTGAAAAGAGATGTTCTGCAGGTCTCCAAAGTGATCACGAAGGGGTACGAACCCTCAACGGGTTGATCTCGCATGGACTGACAAGAGAGGAACAAAAGAGCATCGTCCATGGAAATATCTATAAAATAGAGCCAGATCGCCAACTTTTCTTCGGTGTTCCAGAGGTTAGTGAGTTTGTGAGCGGGGCATCACCCACGAGACGAATTGCCCTTTTTTGAACAGAACTATTGAGAAAAAAAGTTACCTAAGAAGACATGTGGAGACAAATTCAACTGAAAGCTAGGTCAAAAACCTAAAAAACAGGTACTTAATCAAGTATATCTTTCTTCAAATCAACTGAATAGCCAAAAGAACAGGAGGATTTGAATATGAAGGAAATAACAAGCTTTCAGTTAGTGGCAATTTGAGTTAGAAATCATGACGAGAATATCGGTGTGTCATCTATTGTGAAATATTGATTGTATTCAGTAAAATTGTTAAATTTCCACCAATTTCCACAGAACGATGCACCAGAGTATTCGCGAGGAAAGGACTTCAAAATGATTTGTTGGAAGTAGAGTAATAATTATAGGAGAGGTCAAGTTTTTCTAAACACCCTGTATATACGTTCTAAATAAGCAACTATCAAACCTTCTGTCTGCATATTTTCTTGGTTCCTAAAAGTTACCTACCTAAAGTGGTCTTATCTGGATTTAGTTTCGCCTGGGGCAAACAATTATCAACAAGTTGATATAGTAGGAAAACACTTGTTATGGAATAAATATTTCATTTCTTTATTTATTTCATTAGTTGTCAGGCTAGTTTATCCTATTGGTCATGAGATCTAACTAGGCAATTTCACTTTCGAAATGTTAGTAGTGCGGTTTCGACTTATCTCATTGGATAGAGAACAATAAAGATTATACTGATAATATCGGTGGGCGTGGTTGTTGAATGGATAAATATACCTCTTCTTTTCATCAATCTAAGTACTAGTGATTACAATGACAACTGTTAATGAAGAAGTAGTTTGTGAGACAAACGGCAATATGCTAGGGGTAGAAACGTTCTCACCAAGTTGTAATTTTTCAAAATCTCCTTCGCCGTACCATGGATATTCAGATGATAATTGTTATGATAGTGAAGGGAATAAACCTGATATTTCTGCGAGAGAGCAGCACAGCAGTCCATACCAAATAGAAGAAAATCAGCCGATGGTGAGTTTTGTATGAATGTATATTTTGAAGTTGAATCGATTTTTATAATTATAAAATTCAATTTTGCATTCTCAAGCTATGTGATGGAATTTACAATATCTACGAATACAAAGTGATTCAGCTGGACTATGAAACGTATCAATTTCAATTCTCTAGTCACTCCATAGTCTATACCCTCGGGAAAAACGATAGTTGATACTTATGAAACAAATTGTTCGAGACTGTCGTTGGCTAGTAAACACTAGTAACTGATACTGGTTATACTTTCTATTTCATTCGAAGTTATCGCACAATATCGACTCTTGGTGAATATAATATTGTATGACAGAATAGAACTTATCGAAAAGTTTTAGGTAAGGAGCACGCATACTTGTTTGAGATAGTGAGAGTTGGAGAATTGTGGAGTTCAACACATTGTAGCGGTTACTTTGAAAAAATAGTCCAAATTAGCTTAAGGCATTACCTATCTAACTGGGGTACAAATGGAAGAGTGCTTGATACTGATTTGTCATTTTAAATGAATAGTAAAAACGTACCTACTTGAAAAATGTCCATTAGTATTAGTTGTCTAATGTGCAGGGCAGCGTCGGTTATCCTTTGTATGAGGTATCAACTGAGGTTTCTCAAACTAGCGCTTTCAAATGACCCCACACACAATATTCAATAATGTTTATGCTCCTAGCAGATTATAATTCGTATGCTATTTGGATGCATCGAGCAGATAAATGAAGATGAAGCACAAATTGTTGCTGTGTTTCCAAAAATAACTACTGGTAAGTATTCTTCAAGTATGTTTTTTTACTATTCATTTGAAATAACAAACCCGTAGTGAGCACTTTCAACTTTCGACGAATGTGGCTTGGAGGTTTTTCTAACAATAACCACTAGGAAGTGTCAAAATTTAAAAAATGCGACCTCGAATTCAGAATTTATCTATGATCTTCATCATTTCTGGAAATTTGTCATTCCAAAAGTAAGAAGACCATAGTGTTGATCATGAATTCATTAGTTGGAAGATTGAAAAAATATATAGGTATATGCATATATTCGGAAAATTACGTTTTGAACCCTCAAAGTATACACAGAGAGAAATCAGTGTGAGGTCTTTACACAATTGTGTAGATTTTTTCACAGTTTGTTTTTAGAATGGCGACAGCACCAATTTGTGTTTATTTTGCGATATATTTTGTGTGAGAGATATTGTGTATAACCAAACAATTTGGTTTTGTTATTTTCAGAACAATTTTGTTCGAAAACCAAACGAAATTTGTGTACTTTCGTGACACAAAATATATAAAATCATCCAACATTTTGTTCGAAAAATATCGCCAATTTGTGTGATATGTGTGCACAAACTGCGTAAGTGTGTGAACTTATCATTACAAAATTGTGTAAATGTTCACAATTCAATGTGCTGAGAATATAACAAGTTTGTGTATTTCTTGTACACAAATTTCGTAACGATACAAAAGTATGTGTACTTCCGTAGAATGTAGAATCTTCTCATGTATTGATGTCTGGTGGGTTGGTAAGTGATTTATGACTGTACCTTATGATCAAAGGTAGTCCTTCCGTAAAATCATTTTATTTTCACTAGTGGCCCAAAGTGAAAGATGTAATAAAATGTATCAACAAAGTGTCGATTCTTTGTTGGAAACTGCCTGAACTAGTATCAACATTCGTCGGTAAGTTATTTCAATAAAGCCTTATAATTAGCTATTAGCTTCGACTTGCTTTCAATGGGTGATATTGTTTTTGAAATAATAACTTACCGGCGAATGTTGATACCAGAGTTCAAGTAGTTCGCAACAAAGGAGAATGTCTTCGACACTTTGTTGATACATCTTATTACATCCTTCACTCTGTGGCACTAGATCAATCATTCATCAACTCGCCAGACAATAATAAATGAGCAGATTCTACATCACACACTACAAACTCGTAACCTTCTTGTAACACATCTACAGGTCAAGTGCGAATTCAGGTATTGAGATTGATATATAAGTAGGTCGAAGGAAAAGGGGATAGGACGCCGTTACCAAGTGGAAGAAAATTGCACACCTGTGGCAAAATATCACACAAATAGTGTTATTATTTCAAAGGAGGTGTAGTTAGTCAATACAATTATGTGCATTGAATGATGTGCATAGTTTTGTGTAGTTTTCCGCTACATGCATGATTATGTACAAATATTTCACAAATTGATATCCACAAACATTCGTTTGATTTCACGAAACGACTGTAGTGAATATTTGAAGAAATTTTAAGTAATACTTCACAAACATCTTTCGCCTCCTGATGGGCAACAAAAAGAATTGAATATCTAAAAAATAATCAACTTTCACCTCATGCATATTAGGGTTGAATTCACTATTTACCGCCTCCCCTATCACATCTTCAAACATTTGTTCTGGATATTCACTTGGAAAAAAAAAACTTCCACAAAACATGCAAAGGTAGTAATAGAGATCTAAAAATCAATTTTCAACATTTCATCAGCTGTCAAGAATATGATTATGTTTTTATGATGACAATTTAGTTTCAGATTATCGATCACCAGCCCAGATGGAATGAAAGAATTCAAGAGAATGGCCACCACACTGTGATAAATTACGAGAGACCTTTGTTCAGTGTACAAATACCTTACGAAGTCACAAATATTCCAGATAATGGTTCAACTGATAGCATAACAGGTGAGGTGCACGGTAAAATGATGTAAATACATAAAAATCAGCTTTGTGCCGCTTGAATTATAACGAAAAAGTACTAGTACTAAATGAATAGATCTCTTCGATATAAAAAATATAGGTTTGATCTCGAAAAATGGATGATCGATTGATTCTGGCCTTAGTGTTGAGTCAGTTCCTCACGTTTTCATTGGATTTACAATTTGATCGAATGTGCTTTTTGTGCGTAAAGTCAATTTGTTGGATCTGAAAATCAATCACGGAATTTGAAGATTTATAGTGGTGATATTGGTCAGAGATGAGGAAATATAATTTTGATTATCTAGAAAAAGCAAGTTTGAGTTGGAAGTGATTAGAATTCTTATGATATTTCATCCACTACTTTGAAGATTTTGAAAGCATGCATGAAGAATATCGAGAACAACGTAACAAATTGAATAGTTATGTTTCTTTGATTTGTATAGTTATTTGAATCGTCATGCAGAACATGATTCCAATGATTCCATTTACAAAGTTACTCAACACTCTACAACAGCAATCCAGATATGTCAGTCTTGGGCTCCTCCAATTTTTCATTGTTATAAACAAAATTCATTCCCATTGGTTTTTTTAAAAATATACTTGAATGATTACCACGATGAGAATATCGGTAACAAGCCGGACAAAATATCACAAAAACTTCATATCAAAAGTCATGTTGAAAATGAACATATTTGCTAACTAAAGTATACCTGAGAGCAATGTTCAAGCATCAGCCAACAATAGTTCTCATTGATTCTAACCCACTTGTTTGGTCAATTTCAATTATTCAAACAATGAATATCGAACATTTTTAGACATTTACTTTTTTCAAGTAAGGTATTTCCAATTTTGAACAGATATGACTAAATATTCTGTGCATGGTATCAGCTAGGAAAATAGTTGTTTTCTTTTAAGAACCAACGGGCATTATGATGCTAAAAAATCAGATTTTGTCGAAATATTCATGAAGTTTATTTCTGTACCATGAGTAAACATTTGAGACTTCACATAAAGGGTGATGTTATCATAAGGAGACTTGTATTGCCAAATATTTTCTTTATAGCGTATCAGCAAAATATGAGATAATTTTATTGAACAGGTTTGACATAATGAGGATTTGATTTTTTGGCGCATAATAATGCCAAATATTTCCTTTATAGCGTATCAGAAAAATATAAGATAATTTTATTGAACAGGTTAGACATAACGAGGATTTGATTTTTTGGCGTTACAACCACCTCATTTATCCCAAATGGATGAGATGGAGCTTGATCATAGAATTTCTTCCTGTTCTCACAGAACAAGTTTTTTTCTTGAACTTAGAACATTCTTCACATCTATATGATTTTATCGTTCTCTATTGATTATAAGTACATCAAAACTTGATCATCCTGCATTATTATATTCATATATTTTCTCCCTCCCATACTCATTAGAGACAATGGGCCCCTTTTCGTGAAACATTTCATATCATTGTCGTGAACCTTTTTCTCCTCAGAGCTCTTTAGATTAATTTGATGATTATTGAAAATCACGATATATTATAAGGTGGCAAACGCGAGACAACGCATGACGACTCATAAATTGTAAATATACAAGGTATGTCACGACGAGCTTTCACTATCTATATATCGAGAATCAGTCGGAAGAAAGCCATAAAAATGTGCATGCTTATATTTCAGAATACGCTCTTTTCATTTGAAATATTTTAGACAATGCAGTGTTGCCGTGTCTACTAGAAAGTAGTAGTAACATTGATATTTCAAATGAAACACCCTGTATTTCATCGCATTTCTAGATTCTCCCTGAAGAGCTGATGTCATCGATGTATCACACTTGGGGTCTATCGAAAATGATTACACAGATATAGAGTGTTCAAAATCGATATATTTCAACTTGAGGATTTTTTTGTATCGAAACTATTTGTCCCTATCTCAAATTTTGATTCACTATTTATTGTTATTCAATCGGAACAGATACAGGTTGGTTCAAGATTCAGAATTCTGATCACCCTGTATCTGTTCCGATTAAATACCAGTAAATAGTAAATCAAAAGTTGAGATAGGGACATGTGAGCCGTTTTGGCCGATAATGAATGGTTTCGACACAAACAAATCCTGAATTTGAAAAATCTCGATTTTTAACACCCTATATCTCTGTAATCATTTCCGATAGACCCTAAGTGGGATGTATCGATGAAATAAGCTCTTCAGGGAGAATCTAAAGATGCAATAAAATACAGATTATTCTATTTGAAATAACAAAATTGTTGGTACTTTTTGATAGAAGCGGCAACACTGCATTGCTGAAAATATTCTAAATGAAGAGAGCGTATCCTAAAATATAAGCATGCATATTTTCATGGATTTTTCCCGACTGATTCTCGATATAGAGATAGTGTAAGCTCGTCGAGACATACCCTGTATGTCAGTTCACTCCCATTGTGAACAATATTTTCTATTTTGTTGTGAAATGTGGATATACATATTGATTATCGAATCGATACATATACAGGGTGCCCCTGGAAGGTCTGTACAAAATATAAGCACGCATACTCCTGAGGTCAAAATGGGCCGATTCAAAACAACTTACCACAGTACGAAATTGCTTCGTTCTCGAAATACCATACAAAATGTTCAAGTTAAAATATTGAAATCGACAAGTACACTCAAGAAAGTATTTTGACAAATACATGTTCGCACTGCTATTTCACTGTCAAAATTACATCCATGAAGGTATAACAAAAAAAGTTTCAATTCAAACTAATGTAAATATTCCGGTGCAGCATCGAACCCCGGAAACCGAGATTGTCTCACTTTGGCGGATCTTCACATTAGTATCTGTTTGCCTGAAAATGTTCAAAAAATCATTTCCCTAACGGCAGAAGTGGAAAAATACATTAAGATGGACGCTCCTTCAGTTACCAAGAACCTTCACAACTCGATCTCATTAGAACTGAAAAGCTCTAGTGTCAAAAAATGTTTTCTTCAAGATACATCTTTTGAATAATCAACTTTAGGAGTTTCATATAATTTTGAATTTCAGTGCTCGTGTTTTGCGGATATATAGGTACGTGAACACATCTTATATAGGATTCATTATCCATCATGCTGTGTTTGTTTTATTCTTCATGATTTCATTCAGCAATAAAGAACTCTGTGCGATATGCATTTGCGATAACTTGAGCTGTATACTTCTACCTAATTAGTATCAATTTCATCTTTGTAGATATCAAAATCGAACTCGTCTCTGTTTTCGAGTTAAGTGGAAGAATATTTCTGGTTGCGTCTAGTACCCAATCAAAAATAAACTTCGCCCATTATTTTCAGCATATGTATTTTATACCATCATATATTATGTATGTCAAGGCAAAAACAGTATAACAAGTCGGGATCATATTGACAAATCAAGTTTTTGTAACTAGTTTCGGCTCAACGGCCATCTTCAGACACATACAATACCTAAGAAGTCATGTAAAGATGTTTAATTAAAAACCGGATAATCAGGCAGAATTTCATTACCAGTTGAGTAATGACGAAACTTCTTATTGGATGAATTTCGATTTATAATTTCAAATTTGAATTACCTATACTCTCACCGATATTGAACTGTATTATTGATTCGTTCCTTCGGCTCTTTAGTCGATTCAAAGAACAAAATATTTTCTTACTGATTTTCCGGTTTGTGGCCCAGTTTTCAGCATCTTAGGTATTTTATGTGTCTGAAAATGTCTGCTGAGCCGAAACTAGTCGTACAAACTTGATTTGTTAATATATTTTTCGTGGTCGACCGCCTTTGTAATATACTGTTTTTTTTTCCTTGAAAATCATTCTGGACCACTCTGAGAAGGATTGGTGGTTTCCATGTATGATGTATGTATAAATACATTCGAAAATAATAGAGACGATCATTATTATCATTATTATTGAGTTACGGCCATTCTGAACCATAAAAAGTGAATTATTGGTAAGCGCCCTCTAAAAGACACAGTGAAAATGTGTTTATATTCGGGTTTCTCATCACTTCAGAAAACCTTGGAAACCAATTTTTGAAGTAATTCTTTGGAACATGTTCATATACAGGGTGTTTCACAGGTAAAGGGAAATATTTCAATGGTAAATAGGGGTCACCAAGGTGGTTCTGAAAATACCATATTTGATAGGTCTTAGAGTTTTCATAACGGAGATAAAGGGCGATTTATCGATTTCGAATAATTATTCATTCGTCTATAAGTATTGAACTACCCAGTATATTTTTCTGAAATTTGGTATGGAGCTTGAACTTGGGACGTTGAATTCATACACCTATCATGCGAAGTGAAAATCCAGGTTCGGCTTCAGGAAAAATTTACATTTATTCGAAATATTAAAATAACATACTGTATGTGATAATTGACAGAGTTCATCGAAGGAATCGTAAAGAGGAGGAAAAACTGAACTGGATTTGATACTTTTTGTTTTCCCGCCACCAATTCTCATCGTAACAATCATAAACAGAAAGCTGAAAGTATGTCAATTTGAAGAGTATTGAAATTATGAAACCAGTGTCAATTATGATTATTCGATATATTTTAGTCAAAAAATCGCTCGAAAGAACTTACTAAGTCTCACAGTTTTTATAACGGAGATACAGGGTGAATTATCGGTTTTGAATAACTATTCACTCGTCCATAAGTATAAAACTACCCAGTAACATTTTCTCAAATATGGTGTGTAGCTTACTTGGGACGATGGATTCCTCAACCTATATCAGGCGGAATTATAATTCGATAATTCACCGTGTATCTCTGTTCTCTGATATAAAGAATATGAGACTTCTCCTGAAGCTGAACCTGTATTTCCATTCTGCCTGATAGGTCAATGAATCCATCGTTCCAAGTAAGCTCAATACCAAATTTGAGAAAATATTACTGCGATGGGTAGTTTAATACTTATGGACGAGTGATAATTCACCCTGTATCTCTGTTATAAAGACTGTGAGACTAAGTTAGTTCTCTCGAACGATCATTTGACAAGAATATATCAAATAATCATAATTGGAAGTGGTTTCATAATTTTAAAATACTGTTGAAATTGACATACTTTTAGCCTTCTGTTTATGATTGTTACGATGAGAATTGGTGGCGGGATAACAAATAGCATCAAATCCCGTTCAGTTTTTCCTCCTCTTCACGATTCCTTTGATGAACTCTGTCAATTATCACAAACAGTGTGTTATTGTAATATTTCGAATAAATGTAAATTGTTCCCGAAGCCAAACCCGGATTTTCACTTCGCTCGATAGGTGAATGAATTCAACGTCTTAAGTTTGAGATCCATACCAAATTTTAGAAAGATATACTGGGTAGTTCAATACTTATAGACGAATGAATAATTATTCTAAATCGATAACTCGCCCTGCATCTCCGTTATGAAAACTCTAAGACCCATCAAATATGGAATTTTCAGAACCACCTTGGTGACCCCTATCTACCATTGAAATATTTTCCTTTACCTGTGAAACACCCTGTACATACCAAATAATTCGATTTTGATTTTTCAACTTCACTACCCTGTATCTCCGAAAATGTGAAAACACGAACGAGGGTATGAGCTGTTTTAAATCGGCTCATTTTGAACAGACCATTCAGGGATACCCTTCATAGGAGTATTAGGAAAAGATGACATTTGGCAACTCAGCCAGTACAAGATAATGGATATTTTTCAACTGTGGTGGACAGTGTTGCCAGGTCCATCGTTTTGCGCTAAATCTACCGTCCTACCGCTGAAATTGTCATATAAATTTTGGAATTTATTCATAACTGAATGAAAACTCTTCATTCGCTTTCATATTGATTCAATTGGATTATTATAATAATTATATGTATGATATTCACGAAAAATTACAATGCATTGATTTTGGGCGGCAAAATCCCTAACGTCGGTAAACGGCGAATACCCAATACTAGCTATCACAAAATATTACTGATTGTTCGTTCCAGTTTTATTATGATTTAATGTGAATTTATACAAGAATGAAGATTATGCGACTTTTCTCCTTTGTCTCTGTTGATTACCTACCTGATTACGTCCCCTAGTAAACTACCAAAAGGTAGTTGAAAATACTGCAATTTTTAAAATATATCTACCGTTTCATTCCCACTCTATATTATTCATGTCTACCGGTTACCTCATTCTCCACCTGGCAACATTGGCAAAGACGTACGATAGCCAACCGAATCAGTCTCTCTAGCTATGTTGCCATACTCATGCCCTATATGTAAAGATTCTACAATCGATATTGATGTTCATTGGATATTGATAAATATAACACTATTGGTGCTTGTCGGCATATCACGTCATCGGGAGCTCCAGTTCTCGAGGGACGATTATTCTAGTTTTTGAAAAAAAAGTTATAATTTCGAATAATAAATGACTGTCTCAAATACTATCGATATGTGGAACAATCAATATAAAATAGATATTTGTTGTTAATTCGATTATGTTGTCTACAAACCCATAACAGTTTTTTTACAACAATTAGTGGGAACAATTTCAATTATTTATTATGCAGTATTGCATTGTGTCTCAAGAATCATAATGATTATTATCTATTTTCTCCGAAACTTCACAATAATTCACCATCAATGGTGCGTAATAAATATTATACTTTTCAATGACATATAACTGAAATAACAATTTTTCTCATTCTAGATATAGATGAAAATAATGAAACAGATGAAAGTCCAAAAACATTGAAGACCACGAATCAATCAAATGTCCCCAAGAGAGCACGAACTGCCTATACATCATCCCAATTAGTGGAATTAGAGAAAGAATTCCATTACAATAAATACCTTTGTCGTCCACGGAGGATCCAGTTGGCTCAGTCACTGAATCTCAGTGAGAGGCAAATCAAAATTTGGTTCCAGAACAGGAGAATGAAATTCAAGAAAGATCAGAAGAATAAATCATTTTCTCCAATACGTGAGAACCAATCACCATCATTGTCATCGTCATCGAATACTTCTAGTACTACAGGAAGATCTAGGACCAATCCAATGAAGGCCGAAGATTCCGCTATAGTTGACCGTCTGCTAAATAATCCTACAGTTATTCAAAATCAATATATTTCGCAGAATCAAGTTAACTATGGTTCCACTCAGTATTGCCAACAGTGGGACAGATTGTCAGATCGAAGCATTCTGTACTCTAATCAGTATGGACCACCTCATAACCAGAATGTCTATCTAGAATCACAAATAGATAATAGTTATCCACACTACATACCACAAGTAACTACCATCGCTCCATTGAATTATTATTCTGCTAATGATTATGATCATATTATTGATGATGGTCCGAAATCTTTGTATCAGCCATATTTGACAGTCAAAAAGGAAGATGGGTCCACAATCGTTCCAGTTCGAAATGTAGTGGAGCCTGGAGTGAATGAATATACTAGTCACTTATCAAATGTTTGCTGGGAGAGCACTACCTGTTTAGGAAATATTACTCCACCGGATAGTTTGACTCAGTTATAATTGGCGATTTTGTTCGTGAATATTTTATGGTTTCTTGAATACACAAGTAATGCTGTCCCAATTCACTAAAGGATTGTTTAAATCGTCTACCGATCTTTATGTTTAGGTATGAAATATTGTAGATATTGTTCAGCTCATGCATTGTGAAATGTCAATAAATATTGATATCGCTTCATGAATTATTTCGTTACGTTTTCTCTTTTTTATGATGATTTCAAGATAAACTATTACATACCCATGAAGGGCTGCACATTTGATACGCGAATCCACTTCTTTCTTAGAAATACAGGCTGATTCACGGTGGATGGCACATTAGACGTTCCTGGAGAATGTAACTCAGGATCATTCTGGAGAAATGATGCCTTGAATAATGAGTTGTGTTCCATCGACCAAAACTATTTTCAGCATTGCGACGTTGCCGCGTATATTTAAAAGTAGCAACAACGTTGATTTTTTGAATAGAACATCCTGTATATAATTCCATTTTCAGATTGTCCCTGAAGAGCTGATTTCAATGACTCATAATACTTGGGGTCTAGCAGTAATAATTACAAAGTTATAGGCTGTGAAAAATCGAGATGTTTCAACTTTAAGAATTTTTTGTGTCAAAACTATTCATAATTAGTCAAAACGGTATTGATGTTCCTATCATAACAATCTATTCACTATCCATCGATATTTAATTGATATAAATACAGGGTGGTTCAGAATTCAGATTTTTCACCATCCTGTATCTATTTCAATTGATAATCGATTGATAGTAAGTAAAAAGTTGAGAGAGGGACATGGAAACCGTTTCGACCATTCATGAATGAATTCGAGACAAACATTTTTTTTATTGTTATCGCGCTGAGAAACGATGCTTTCTGGTCTGCATCCGGATATCTCTAATAGCACACAACGTCCTAGCGACGTCCCTTTTTGGTACAATTCACGTCCGAATGTCCCGAACCAAAAATAAGTGTCTCTGGGACGTCCCATCCCGTACATCTCATGCAATGTCCGAGCAAGGACTTCCACGGAATGTCCCAGCTGGTACATCATTTCAAATGTCCTGAAAATAGTATCCCTTAGACGTCCCACGTGGTAATTATTGTAGAATGTCCATGCAAGGACGTCCATGGCATGTCCCTGCTAGGATATGATTTTAAACGTTCCTTTAGGGACATCCATCGGATGTCCCGAGTAGTACATATTCTGGCATGACTGGCATGGTGAATATCTCGGTAACCTGTTTTAGATTTTTTTGAATTCATTTACAGTGTGATTTCAGAACGTATGGCGGATTTGAAAATGTTATAGCCAATGCTGCCACTTTTTCAGTTATTCCGTATTTTTTATCAACTTTCTAATTTTGAATTGAACACCCTATACTTAATTGGATTTTCAGATTCTCCTTGAAGAGCTGATTTCATCGATCCATCACACTTGGGGTCTAGCGGGAATGATTACATAGATATAGGGTGTTTAAAATCTAGATTTTTCAACTTTAGGATTTTTTTGTGTCGAAACTATTCATTATCGATCGAAACCGCTTCAATGTCACTTTCTTTACTTTTGATTTACTATCTACTGACATTCAATTGGTATAGATACAGAGGGTGATCAGAATTCTGAATCTTGAACCACCCTGTATTTGTTTCAATTAAATGTCAGTAGATAGTAAATTAGAAGTAGAGAAAGAAACATTTTAGCGGTTTTGATCGATAATGGATAGTTTCGACACAAAAGAATCCTAAAGTTGAAAAATCTAGATTTTAAACATACCATATACCTATGTAATCATTCCCGCTAGACCCCAAGTGTGATAGATCGATGAAATCAGCTCTTCGAAGAAAAAATCTGAAAATTCAACAAAGTACAGGGTGTTCCATCCAAAATGAGGAAGTTAATAAAAAATTCGGAATAACTGAAAAAGTGGCAACATTGACTATAACATTTTCAAATTCACCACGTTTTGAAATCACACTGTACATAAATTCGAAAAAATCCAAACACAGGTTACCGAGATATTCACCTGTTTCCATACATATCAGCGACCCATAATGTCCCTTCTAGACAACCATGAATTGTCCCTGATGGTACATTCCTTCAAATATCTCTGCACAGACGCCCTTAATATATCCAGGATCGTATAACAATCGAAATGTCCCTTAGGGACATCCTTAGGATGTCCCTTAGAGATATCCGTCGAATGACCCAACTGTACTTTTCCAATGTCCTATAAATAACGTCCGATGGACGTCCCAGTCAGTACTTTCAATATGTTGTCCCTGCGAGGACGTTAACTTACACCTCGCCAACGAATGATTGCTCGAAGGCTATAAGTACTCCTCATAAATATCCTTCACGTAAGTCCATTGGACATCCTTTAGAAACTTTTTGGGACCTTCTACGGACGATCAACTCAATTGGATGTCCTAATCAGTTATGCAAGATCTGGTCCTAGAGGGACATAGAAAAATTCAATTCGTACGTCCCTGGGACATCCAATGGACATTCAATTTATATTCATCAGCGTTACTGATAGGTTGTCCTATGGATGTCCTAAGGATGTCCTCTGTAGTGCTTGATGAGGAATACTGTCGGATTTAGGTATCTGATAGTTGTCCCAGGGACATCCCTCAAGGACGTCCCTAGTTGGTCCTCAAGCGGGACATTTGTGCGTCCCATCGACGTCCAATGGACGTCCACTGTACCAAATACGAACGTCCTATGGATGTCCTGAATGTCCCGACAGAACGTCCTAAGGATATCCATGGGACATAACTGTGTTATTAGGGATTGAAAAACACGACTCTGATCTACTTACATAAGTATTCAGTGTATGAAATAATTCACTGCAGAGAGACATTACAAAACAAAGAGACAAAAGCGCCGAAGGAGCGCTAGTGTCGCCATCTATCAAGATATGCATTCAATATTTTTAGGTGTAAAAAATTCATACTTTGATATTCAATTCTTCGTTCAATCTGGTTTGAAATGAGTACTCCATATAGCATCGCAATCTTGAAATCATCATAGTATACAGGATGGCATTGAAATAAGTGCAAATATTTCGAACACCGAGACAGCGCGACGCATACTATCATTAATGGCACAAGTGAAGAAAAATATGGATCAAAATAGAATCTGAGGTAAGACCCCTCCTCTCACCCAAAGTAATACACTGTAGCAAATCTGTTGTCACCTCTGATCAAATTTCCATACGGTAGGCACAATCACACAAAGCTCAATCATTCAAATTGTTTCGAAGTGACGTATTTGATTCTTTCTTCGTATATAGTGTTCTATTTTTAGGTTGAAATTTCTTGGTAATTAAGAGAATTAGAAAAAATCTGATATCAAGGAAATCTCTCTTAGACTGTATCATATTAATGTGCTGAATATGTGCACTCATTTCGAAAACACCTTGTATAATTAATAAATCAAATCGAAAATTATTTATTGCATCATTTTCACGAAATCATCCGTTTTAATTGTCACCTATCGATCTGGATACCAAAATTCGTGGAAGATGATATACCTTCACAATTTTTATCCATTCTCCAATTAGTTTAGGTTTTTCAGGGGGTAATTTCATTATCAGCAATATTATTTATTCACATGGGAAAATGCAAGACGGTGCGAGTAAATCAAATTAGCCCATAATCTCATGATTCATTACACGATTTTGATTCATTCGTGATTGGTCGGTGTGCAAAATAGGTGTTAATTTCATATGAAATGTGTATTTTTTGCGATAACTTGAATATTACCACTATAAAAATAATTAACTGTTCATCCTTTTGTTATTTATTTTGAATGGATATTTCAGGACCCATTCAAATTACCACATCCGTGCATGTAATTTTTTACTATGTACATGTGAATTGAAACAACTGTACAGGGCATTATCAATTTTCTGATAATATTGATATAATGTTGCAGAGTTATTTCTGAAATCCACTCGATTGGAAGTACACCCGAAAATGTTCCACTGTGTATGTGAATATGGCAGAATAGGTCTATATCTGTATATAACTTTCAACGAGATTTCGAATAAATTCACTGTATTTCATCACTTTTCAACAATTTGGTCTTCCAATCCTGAAATGAACTCCACTTTTCTGGAAAATTTTGAGAATTACACTCATATGTTGTATGAATTGTTGATCTATCAAATTTTTGAAACGGATCATTCGAATAATTCTGTATATCTAGTGAATCAAATTAGGTTATGCTTATGCTTGAAAGTACGATATTTCAATCACTAAATGTTCATCAATTCAGTCATGGCCTCTCCTTGAAGATTTCTAATTCAAATCGTATCAGAATAACATAAACAAACTCTCAACTAAGCTGTACTGAATAACAATAAATATTAATATTATCCTTGATTATATACACTAGTGTGAATACTCGATAATATTATTTTGCTTCCCACTGACGAGTGCTTTCGTCGATATCCAAGACATACGAGAGACGTTCAAATTATTGGATTCGTGATATCGGCATCAGTAGACTGAATAATGTCCGCTCTTGATGGTGTAAGGTAGCGATATAATTAGATATGCATATATTCTTTGATCTCTTGGAGCACTAGAAGGGGTGTTGAGTAAGCATCGGGGGAACTTGTCGAAGTCCAGACAGCTAGACCGCTAGTGTGGGTGGGTCCATTGTGTCGCCCCGTGAGTATGGCATCCTTCACAAGAGTCCCGCAGCTCTGCCGAAGGCTAGGATGTCGGTAGCCGGGATGTTTGGCCCTTCTTCCGCTGGAAAAGTCGTTTGTCCGAAACTCCGCCATCTGAGCTGTGTTAGCGCAGGACATTCACATATGATGTGGATGAGAGTTTCGTCGTCGTTTTCGAGACATAAACGGCACGTTGGGTCACCGGAGATGCCCAGAATGTTTAGATGTCTGTTAAGGCGGCAGTGTCCAGTTAGTAAAGCCAGTGACAACTCTGCATTGGCTTCTTCGCATATTCAGGAGGGATTGGGTGAGACGTATCGAAGGCCTA